AAAGAAGACCAAAAATACAGTTTCCTCCTTGACATTGAAAACTGCGTGTATTGAAAACTTCCTGAACCTTTTGCTCTGTTGACAGTGTAAAAGTTTCCTTTAATGTGTCCAAGCTCATTAATGTATTTTAACCTTCTGAAGAAACTCTTTTATATTTCATTTCTCCTTCCTGCACCACAGCACCTTGAAAATCATCAAGAACTCTCAATCCACAGCCCTGTAACTAACTTCTTTCCTTATTAACATTTTTCTCCTTTAATCATATGCTATAAAGAGTTTTACTTTCCCCTGGCAACTTTTAAGCTGTATAGATGTAATCATTATAGTGAGTGATGACATCAAGCCAGGGTGACATGGTGCAATTGATTTTTACTAAATAATTCTATGATGAGCTGGAAGAAGGAGTTTTATTAGTCTTAACTCAGCGAGGATTGATTGGGGAAAAGAAAATGCCCAATCAGTACATCAGGTTTCTGTGGGGATAAGAAAATAAGTGACAGCTGCAGAAAAGTCTATAAATCACAGAAAAAATTATGGTAAAAATAAGAGCTGTGAACTGCCCTTTAAAATTTCACTGGATGGCAGAGAAGAGTCTCACAGACCTCAGTCATTTATCTCCATTATGCCTGGGATCCTCTGGGAATAGCAAAGTTGAAGGATGATACCATTACATTTTTTTTTTTATTATTTTTAAATGGAGAGAAGATAAGGAGTGGTGTCTAAGTATTACTTTGGAGTCATTAGAGGATTGAGTCTTCAAAAGAATTCCTTGATTTAGCCAATAAAATAAAGTGTCTTTTGCTTTCTATAAGTAATATATTAAAGATTCACCATTTTGAACCAGATTTGCTTGGTGGCAAATTCTGAAGAAAAAAGTACTGGGAAATGTGGGGGATTTTATTAATCATAGAATTACAGAATGGTTTGGATTGGAAGAGACCTTAGAGATCATCTTGTTCCAATCCCCTGCCATGGGCAGGGACAACTTCCTCTATCTCAGGTTGCTCCAAGCCCCATCCAACCTGGCCTTGGACACTTCCAGGGATGGGAAGTCCATATTCCAGACCATATTCTGGTCCTTCAAACCAAAAGAGAGATGGTATTTGCTGCTCTGATACCAAAGAATATGGGGGAGACCAAAATTAAATCACCCCTACCCAGGTACATCAGAAGATGCCAAAGTGTTGGTCAGAGGGAGCTTTTTAGAGCCATTTCTTTGCCTGTTCTCTACATTTGGGCACAGAACAGCTTTCCCAGTGGAAGTGTGTTCATATTCCATGGCAGTCTCCTTCTGGGAGAGCCTCACAGCTGCCTTTTCTTTCTACCATCCTCCTGGCCACAAATTTCTGTTTCATATAAAAGAAGTGCTGAGCTCTTGAGGGCATTTAGTGAGTAATTCATGTTCTGGTCTCTGCTGGCACAGTGAGGACATTTTATGTTCTCCAGAGAGTGGTCCAGGCTGAGGTTCTTTGGTCAGCCAAAGTGAAAGTCCTGGTTATAATCCTTGCCCAACATCTAAACACCCTTAGAGCTCCAGATGCCCTCATCCTTCCTGATTCTCCAGAGACAAGAGCTTGCAGCAACTGGCCAGTGCTCACACAGGATTTGGGCTTATGCACATATTTTTGGGCTTAACCACATATTTTTGTCTCTTGCTGGAGAGGTGGAAATCCTCTACTTTTTTATCAGCTCTGAAATCAGTATTTCTATCTAAACATCTCTTTGATGACAGATTTTGTGGCCGTTCCCAACAAAGAAGCTGATTTTCAGTGTCTCAGGCACCAGCAGCAAGTGCCAGCAAGCTACAACTCCAGGGTATGTTTGTTCCTGTCCCTGTTGGATGTGTTCCTGATCACCTGGTCAGGGAGACATTTTCCCAGGGCAGGGGTGAAGTTTTCCATCCCTGGAGGGATTTAAAAGCCATGTGGATGTGGCACTTGGGGACATGGGTTAGTGGTGGCCTTGGCAGTGCTGGGAAATGGTTGGACTCGGTGATCTTAGAGGTCCAACCTAAATCATTCCATGATTCCTCAGGGTTAATATATTTTCTTAACAACTTTGAGAAGGAACCTGTGTATGATCTCAGCCTCAAATGAAAAGGAGGGTCGGGCCCTACTGACAGATTTGCCTATTTATTATGTCCTTGAGGAAAAGATTTATCTCCTGGAACTATCCTAAAAACTATCCCTAAATTGGCAGGTTTTGAGGCTTCTTGCAGCACAGTTGGAGGAAACCAGCATTTTCCTAGAAGATTCAGCTGATGTTCTGTAGGAATTACTCCTTCTGCCAGTCAAGAACTTAAGCACAGATACCTTGTGGAATTTTGAGAGAGCCAAGCTCAGGTCACTTTTTATTCAGTAAATGTGGTTGTTTTTTTTTTAAAGACAAGATTGTTAAGATTGTTAAGCTCAATCACCCTACCACGGTTGTTTAGTAAATTAAATTTCTTGCCTTGTTTGCTACTCATTGAGTTAGTGGATCTCAGCAAGTAGGACTTGCCAGAGGGTTTTAAAAAGTCAGTGATGGACCCTTGAGATGTAAGTTTGTCTGTGTGAGGGACATTACAAATAACAACAGCAACGGTGGCACTTGGTTATGTCTATTACAAGGAATTTATTTTGTCATCCCAAAGTCATTGGGGCTTAAATAATATATTAGTTATGCATTGGGGAGGAGGAGGGGTTAGGTACAAATTAATTCAAGTAACGAGTGAAAATAAATGACATTTTAGCTTAGATGTTTGGTCATGTTAAAGCTGCACTTTGAGGTAATACATAAAATGTCTTGTTCAGTCTTCTTCATTCCATGGGGGTAGTTTAACAGTCCAAACCAGCACTTTGGTTCTGGGAGAGGCTGTTATTGCACAGCCTGAATCCTCCTTAACTTTATACTTTCATCACTGACATGGCAGTTTTGGTATCCTGGGCTCATCCCACAGCGTGGGCATCAGGGAAGGGGGGGATTCTGCCCCTCTGCCCCCTCAGGTGAGACCCCACCTGCAGAGCTGCCTCCAGCCCTGGGGAACAACAGCACAAGGACGTGGAGCTGCTGGAGAGAGTCCAGAGGAGGCCACGGAGATGCTCCCAGGGCTGGAGCCTCTCTGCTCTGGAGCCAGGCTGGGAGAGCTGGGGGGGCTCACCTGGAGAAGAGAAGGATCCTGGGAGAGCTTGGAGCCCCTTCCAGAGCCTGAAGGGGCTCCAGGAGAGCTGGAGAGGGACTTGGGACAAGGGATGAAGGGACAGGACAAGTGGGAATGGCTTCAAAATGGCAAGTGACTGGGCTAGATGAGTATTGGTATGAAATCCTTCCCTGTGAGGGTGGTGAGGCCCTGGCACAGGTTGCCCAGAGAAGCTGTGGCTGCCCCTGGATCCCTGGAAGTGTCCAAGGCCAGGTTGGACGGGGTTTGGAGCAACCTGGGACAGTGGAAGGTTTCCCTGCCCATGGCAGGGGGTGAAATGAGATGAGCTTTAAGGAACCTTCCAACCCAAACTGTTTTATGATTCTCTGATTCTGTGAAAATGTCTATCCTTGATCTGAAGCCCTCAGGAATGGAATGTGGTTTTAGGTGCATTGCTCAGAGGAGAAACACTCTTTACTGCTTGAATGTTGCCTTATTTCCAATCTGCATTTTTGTACACTTTGGCTTTCAATTGCCCCACCTCATGAAGCAACTTTGGCAAGACTAAAGAACCTTATTTCTCTGGGTTTTTCCCTCTCTAAATGTATTTTTAATTCAGAGTCAGTTCTCCCCTTAACCTTCTCTTCAATAAATTAATTTAGCTGACTTGCTTCTCCGTTACTCTGTCCTGATGGCACATACATACATTAAATAATCTTATCTTCTCACCCAGAGCACACGAGCTCCTGCTAAACTTAAACTCATGGCAAGAAACCAGCCCAGTGTGGAGTGATCCCCCATTCAGAGAGATTTTTGTAATCTACTCCCTAGCTGGTTGTTAAATAGTTTGTTAAGCAGTAAATAGATTTGTAGAATGTTAATGCTTAAGCTCAGGCATCAATCAGCATTAACATATCCTGGCAAAACTAAGGCTTTCCTGGCCTGGACTAATTTTATTCCTCCTAAGTCTTCAGTAGCACTGGATTTACAAGAGCTCCCTGAAAAGAATCTGCAAAGGAATGAGCAAAACATTCCCTGCCTGGCAGTTGACACTATTAAGTATTGATGAAGAGCACAGTGATTTTTTTTAGGTGTAATAATAAAATTTACCAATTAAAAAGTGACCCAAATCATCAGAAAACTCCATAACATGTTTTGGTATCAGGTTCTTTTATATAACTGTTGGTCATCAAAAGGAATTTTAGTCCTAATACGTATTTTAAAGTATTTCTGTATCTCTTTGTTCATAAATATTTCAGCCAGTTTTCATTTGTTTATTGTCCTATCCTTTAAATTGTTTTTCTGTTGCTTTCTAAAGGCAAAGAGGGATAAAACTTCCCAGGATTTAATGAGTAATAATATATTGATGCATCTTTTTCCCCAGCATCACAGGCTCTTTCCCTACCCTCTGCCCTTTGCTTGGGGGGTATCAGGACATGTATTTTCTTTTCCATTTCATCTCCATAGTCCTGAGAGTTGATGGAAATCTTCAAAGGGGTCTCTGTAGTCTGGGGGCAGTCACAAGCCAAACCCTGATAATTTCTAGTTTGACTGGGGTGTGATGTAATAAATCTAAAATGCTCATTTACATGCCATTTAAATGGATATATCACTGTTGAATCTCTTCAGGACTCTTTAACCAAAGAACTTTGGTCTTCCTAAAAATACCTGCTGGACGAGACTGTGCCGATCCAGCTGCATGGAACATCCTAAATTTAGTGGAAGGTGTTGAAAAGGTGGTTGGAACTGGATGGTTTAAGGTCCTTTCCAACCCAAACCGTGCTAAGATTCTATGAAATTCAGGTGTATTGACCTTCTCCCAGCAGCCCAGGGAGGGGGAGAGGCTGATCCTCATGGCATTCCATGTTTTCTCTCTCTCCAGGGATGAGACAAGGCAATGACGTTGGCACTCAGTACCGCTCGGCCATCTACACCTTCTCCCAGGAACAGATGGAAGCTGCCCTGAGGTCTAAGGAAGAATATCAAAAGGTAACACTGGGAAGGGTGTGGAATTCCTTCCTGTAGGAGCAGAGGTCAAAGATGTCACTAATGAGCACAAAATCACTCCTTGTGCCGTGCATTTTCTGTGCTGCTGTTGGAGCTCCTCGTTCCAACACTGAACTTGCATCACAGTTGCTTTAAATTCCAACTTTTATGAGTGTTTTTGGTTTGTGTGAGTCATTTTGTAACTATTCAGATAGTTCTTTGTGCAGAGATATCTTGAATCTCTGGAAGAGATTTTTTTTAATGTGGGTGCACCGGAGCAGAAATCTGTGATCCTAAAGCTATTCCAGCACCTCTGAACCCTGTACTCTGAAGGGCTCACCCAAAATCTCAGCCCCAAGAGTTCCTGAACCTTGAGGGAAGGTCCTGATCAATATTTGAGCTGCCTAACTCAGCATCACCCACCTGCTGCTTGTAAGATGCTTCTATGAAGCCATTCCATAAATGTCTGTGATGGGATGTGACAGCCCGTGACGTGCTAAGAGTATTTGTTTTGACACAAGGATTTGTGGGAGAGAAGATCAACCAATTCCCCCCTCTGTACAGCCCTGTTTTTCAGGGGAGATGGATTCTGTCTCTTCCCTGCCACATAAGCTATTATTTAACTAAAGGCAGGGGGATTAGTGTCCTGCAGTGTCTCTGCATTGTGCTTGCTGTCTGAGCTGCCTCGCGCTCTTTTCAAAGCGAGATCCGGATTCTACAACGCAGAAATAGAAATTCTTACGATTTTTATGAAACAGAAATTCTTTTCATTTATATGAAATATAAATGCTTATACTTTATGTGAAAAAAAACCCAAGCACTTAACCTGGAACATCAGGGCATGGACTTATAGAGCGCTGAAAGAGTCCCAGTGTTCGTATGTTTAATTATACAACGATCTCACTTGTGTCACGTTAAAGAACCGGGAGCTGGGGTGAATATTTAACGTTAAAAGGAAACAAGTGTGTTTTTGGAGGGTGGGGATACGCCAGTCAGAGGGTCCAAAGAGGAGGTTCAGCTGCTGAAACCCTGGGCAGCAGTTTGGGGTTCCCCAGTGTGTGTGTGCCTGGTGGGTTGAGCTCTCACAGGGCTGGTTCCTTCCTGCAGTCGGAATTATTTTGTGTGCAAAGAGATGCTCTGAACTGCAAGCAAATAAACAGAAAGCCTTTCTCAGCAGTGTGAGAACTGTGCTTGTAAATGAGGTGTTCAGTGACATATTTTCTCGTGAGTAGCTGAACACATGGGGAGAAGTCAGTCTTGCAGGTGCTTATGTGATTTAACAGAGTGGTTTTTGGAAGGTTCACTGCTCGTATTTATCACTCAGAACTTTTTTTTCTCGTTATTTCCCTCAGATCCATTGCTTTTCCGAGTTCCTTTTATTCCTTTCTGTTAGCATCTGCTGACCAGTATCACCCCGTAAATCTTACAGCTTTAATTTGCTTTCCCATCTCTTTTATTCTCTGCTGTTATTTGTCATTAAATAAATACTGACATGAAAGCAAAATTGCGAGGTAGGAGATTGCAAGATGATATTACAGAAATTTCCATCATCAAATAGATTTCCTTAATGGCACCATTTAAAATTTACCTACTTTGAAGTCTATCACCATTTGAAAAGTGTGTATAATTAGTACATTTATATAATTAGGCACAACTGTAAGCGAGCACATGTGGAGTTTGTTTTTGCACTGAAGTGGGGAAGGAAGGGACGGTGTTGCCAGCTAAGGAAACACAGCAAATATGTACCAAAATTCCTCAGGGATCTGTGGTTCCTATGTATTATTAACAACAATATCTACAATATTATCTGCTGAGGTATTGCAGGAGCAGTGGAGTGGTTGTATGGGAAACACACTGAGCAAACAATTTGTTCAGGAATCCCTTTTCATATTAAATGTTTTGCATTACATGATTTTAATGTAAATCTAATACAGCCACTTCCCTTATTATTGCAGCAATTTAAAATAAATATCAGGCTCTTCTGGCAGTGACACGTGCCAGATAATCAGGGACAAAACCACGTGGGAATGGCACAATGCTTGATTTTTCCAGGCACCAAAGGGGGGAAAGGGCTCACAAATATGACAAGTACAATAACTGCACCGTGGCTGCAAAGGCATAAAACCAAAATGCCATTTATTTGTTTGTTCCCTGAATAATCGTGCATGTGCTGTTGAGGTGTTTGTGAGCTGAGGGCCTGGAAGAGAGCTAAGAATGGCCTTCAACCAGAAAATGATGTGTTTGTTAGAGGAGTTTCTTTCCAGAAAGACGGGGAGGGTTGATCATTTAAAGGAAACAATTTTGTTTACTGAGGGTAGAAACCATCCAACCCCAAGGTTAATATCTTGAATTCCTGCCTCCAGGACTGGCTGCCTGAGGCATTGGCTTCTCCCTGGAAGACGGAGAGTGTGTTCAGCAAACAGCATGGGCTGGAAGGAGCAGAACAAACCATTTTGGACCAAGGACCAGAATGGGTGTTTCGAGAGGGTTTGATCTTCAGTAGCTGTAGTTGGTCCTCTCAACCACCAGCAGGTGAAGTCAGCACCTTAGCACTGGGCTCTGCTGAGGCCAAACCTCAAATCCTGGGGGCAGTTTTGGGCCCCTCCATTCAGGAAGGACATTGAGGAGCTGGAGCGTGTGCAGGGAAGGGAACGGAGCTGGGGAAGGGGCTGGAGCAGCAGGAGCAGCTGAGGGAGTTGGGGGGGGCTCAACCTGGGAAAAAGAGGGATCAGGATGGACTTTTTGGCTCTGCAACTCCCTGACAGGAGATGGGAGCCAGGGAGGGGGATTGGGCTCTGCTCCCAGGGAACAAGGGACAGGATAAGAGGGAACGGCCTCAATTGTGCCAGGGAAGGATTAAGTTGGATAACAGGAACAATTCCTTTCTGGAAAGGATGATCATGCATTGGAATAGGCTGCCCAGGGCAGAGGTGGAGTCCCCATCCCTGAAGGGAATTCAAAGCCATGTGGATGTGGCACTTGGGGACATGGGTCAGTGGTGGCCTTGGCAGTGCTGAGGAACAGTTGGACTCGATCTTTGAAGGCTTTTCCAACCTAAATGATCCTGTACTTCTATATTAAATGACAATAAAAAGGAGATTTATTACCAGCCTGTGAGTGAGAGGCAAGATGTGCCCTGAGCCCAAGGATCCTGCAAGGTTGCATCTATTTCAAGTTGTGAAACTTGTTGCTGATTCCTGCAGCTGCTCCAGCAGCTGAGAAATGGCATCACAGCACTGAATATGCATCGAGCTGTGTGTCTTGAGCTGCTGATGAAGCTGAGAACATGCAGTCAGAGTCAGCCAGTGCTGATATGTATTCTAATACAATAGTGTTGCTGGTAAATGGTAACACAATGTAAGTGTAATCAGAAAAACATACAATGAGGGCCAGGGCTTGGTAAAATCACTGTGAATGAGCTGTTCCATCAGTTTTGCCTGAAGCTGAGGTTTTTTAATACAGTTGAACCTGAGGTTACTCAATTTTCAAGACAGTTGCAAGGCTGGATTTAGTTTTCAAATGAATTACCAAGGCAATTTTAATCCAGGGAGTGAAATCAGGGTGGGAAGAAGTGTGTATTTGTTGGGTTTTTTTTCAAAATCAGAGCCTGCATTTGTTTTGTGAAGCACTAACACTGAGTTTTAAGGCTCCAAGAACACAGTGAGTCCCTCCCCTCCTTAGAATCACAAAATGGTTTGAATTGGAAGGGACCTTAAAGCTCATCTCATTCCACCCCTTGCCATGGGCAGGGACACCATCCACTAGCCCAGGTTGCTCCAAGCCCTGTCCAACCTGGCCTTGGACACTTCCAGGGATTCAGGGGCAGCCACAGCTTCTCTGAGCAACCTGTGCCAGGGCCTCCCTACCTTCCCAATATCCCCATCTAACCCTGCCCTCTGCCAGTAGGAAACCTCTCCCTATGTCTTGTTCTTCCATCCCTTGTCCCCAGTCCCTCTCCAGCTCTCCTGGAGCCCCTTTAGACTCTGGAAGGGGCTCTCAGGTCTTCCTGGAGCCTTCTCTTCTCCAGGTGAACCCCCCCAGCTCTCCCAGCCTGGCTCCAGAGCAGGGATGATGGATGGAGGTGCTCTGCAGGATAAGGGAAACAGGGAATTAGCATTGGCCAACCAAAGATGCAACGATCTCTGCAGCTCAGCAGTTGAACAGATACTGTAAAACTTCCATAAACTTGTGGGATGATGTGGGAACAAACCAGCAAAACCCTCAGGTACAAACCCAAGAGCTTTATATTTGGTATTAGAGAGAAGAGATTGAAAAAGTGGAATTTCCTGGCCAGCGCAATGAGCTTTGGAGCAGCAACTAAATGGAGATGAGGGGGCTGGGATTGTATTTGTGAAGCTGGAGTAAAGGCTCTTCACAGACCTTTGAGATCTACAGTTCTGAGTGGTTAATTCCATGAAGGAATGCCTTGTGGAGTGAATTTCCAACACTCATCTGTTTTTTTATCTGATGTGCTGTGTGAGTTTAGAACAGGCTTTGCCTGGGAGGTGGTTTTTCATGTGATTTTTGGCTGGGAAAAGTTAAATAGCTCTTTGAAAATTAGATTGTTTTTATTAAAGCAATACAATAGTCAATAAAAAAAAATAACACCTGCTTACTGCTCTTCAAATTCTGTCTAATTCAGAGCTTTATGTATCAAATTATCTCTGCTTCACTCTGATGTGAATGGCAGTGACTCGATTCCTGATTGATGGTTGGTGGCTCTCAGGAAAACAAGCAAAGCTGATCTGATAAGCTGAGCCATTCTTTGTTTTGTAATCACTTCCCTGTGCTACAGAGATACCCTTTGAATGTTCATCCCTCTCTGAGAAAGCTGCATTTGGCTCTGGATGAGGAGGTTTTGTGTGAACAGTTGCAAACTCTTTTCATGTTACTGTAAATGGCGGAAAATTGGAGTTCTTTGTCACTCCAAGAAAATTTGGTCCCCTCACAGCAGAGAACTAACACTAATACATTTCTTGGTGACAGTGGCAGCGAGATAAAAG